AAAGATGCCTGAGATCTTCCGCGTCGAGTGCGTGAGGCGATGCTAGCCGGGGCAGCTCTGGAGCGGTAGAGGCGGGTTGCTGCAAGGGGGTCCAAAATAGGTACCCAAAGTTGAACCCTGGTAAATAATAACATAGACTAAAACCTGTGTAACCCCCAGCTGTTTAGTTTTGAGGCATACCCATATGGGTGTGGCTCAAGATAGGGGCCCAAAATGAACCCTGGTAAGAGGAGTAGCCTAAAACCTGCGGCCTGCTGGTTCTTAAATCTTGAGCCACAACCGTACTGCAAGCTGACGGCGTTCCAGCGCAGACACTTTGACTCATTGACAGCTCCGGAAGCTCCCGCGCGCCCGACTTTCAACTGGACCTGTGACAACAAGAGAAGGCTCTAATGTGGGCCTCTTTGCTTGGACTTGCCAATACTTGTTTCGTATTGCCAGTTCCAAAATTTGGTATTGCCACGACTTGCTCTCGGATTTCCTGTACTTGTCATTGTAAGTGTTGTCAATTTTGAAAGTAGTCTTGCCAAGACTTGCTCTCGGATTTCCAGTACTTGTTGGTGTTACCAAGTTTAAATTTAGTATAGCCAAGACTTACTCTCGGCTTTCCAGTACCTGCTAGTGTTGCCATCTTTAAATCTTGTATTGACAAGACTTGCTCTCGGATTTCCAGTACTTGTTAGTGTTGCCAAGTTTAAATTTAGTATAGCCAAGACTTACTCTCGGATTTCCAGTACTTGCTAGTGTTGCCATCTTTAAATTTTGTATTGACAAGACTTGCTCTCGGATTTCCAGTACTTGCTAGTGTTGCCATCTTTAAATCTTGTATTGACAAGACTTGCTCTCGGATTTCCAGTACTTGTTAGTGTTGCCAAGTTTAAATTTAGTCTTGCCAAGACATGCTGTCAGGTTCCCACACCGACCGGGCACCGGTTTGCGCAAACTGGTCCCGGTCACCGGGCCATGGAGGTTGCCGGCCGACCGGGACCGGTTCGCGCACCGTTTGTGTCGAGGCTTAGACACGAACAGGAAGGACATGCAGGCGAGAAGCCAAAAGGAAGCTCCATTTTACACTACGTGTGGGTGTCATTGTTAGGTTTTGGACCCCGGCAAAAAATGGTGGTTTTCCTTTTTGGTGTCCCTTTCAGCCAAAAGAGGCCTCCCCCCAAAAACAGAAGGACCCACCCACTAGCTATCACCATGGCTTTTGGGGCATGTGGGTCGAAGTGATGCGCGTGCGGTTTTCGCAGGGCTTCAGCGACACGTTGGAGGGACAGCTGCCGGTGTTCCTGCAGACCCTCTGGGACGCCGGGCCCCGATTCGCGGATGAACAAACCGGTCTCCTCGTGTTTTTTTTCGAAGCACTCGGGGTCAAAAAGCGGCCCTAGACGAAATTGGGCATCACTCGAACTTTTTCAAATGCATCCGACATCTCCCATATGATTATGCCACGCGTGTCAGGTTTCTGACATCGCTCCACATGCCGGCGGCACAGTGTCAATGTTTTCATGAGCCCTGACTGTGGAGGCGGTCCCGGAATCCCTGAACCAGCAAGTCAAGTCTTTTAGTCAGAGCGGAAGCCCAGTTTGACCAGCAAGGTGTTGTCACTTTTTTCAGCCAATGGTTGGTCACATGCAACTGGCCATTGTGTCTTTTAAGAGCCGGAATCAGTTGGGGGGAAGTTGTGGTTTGTTGTTGGAGGGACCAGATGTCACCGGTGTCCCCTTACCCATGAGAACATTGTCAGGCTGTCGTTCAACGCATGGAAGAGGTGAGAAGCTAGAATTCCAAACCGCCCCCCCCAACTCCGGGCAGGCGAGCCAAAGTTTTGCTGGCAAAATTATTCTTCCCGATAGGTCTGCCTCTTGGACATCATGTCCACCCTGAAGAACGTGAGTGGCAAGGCGGGAGTTTCGACGGCCCTTGGATCTTTAAGGGAAGGGAAGCTTTTGCATTCCGGCCATAAGCAAAGAAGAGTCCACTTTGTGTAGTTGTTTTTTGATCACTACTTCAAGTTGGAAGCTGGTGGAACCGAGTTTATGCACAGCAGCCCAATGCACTTTGAGGAAGCCATGGATTAGATAGATGTACACAGCAAAGCGAGCGGGACCCACTTTGCTCATGTCCTTTGTGGAACAAGTCATTTTGTCCGCTCACCAAAAGCTCGAACGATTCAATCTTGGTTTTAGCCCCAGAGTGGTCCAGACTTTCGCACAGGCTCCACGCTTGGCCAGCACCACCTTCCGCGGGAACCAATCCCTTTCCAAAAGGAAAACAATACCATTTATGATGCACAAGCGGTCGAAAGCGGGAGGGTAACCCTCCTCAAGGGATATATGGTGGATGGGAAGACTGTCGGACATCCAGATGTATATACTGTACACTACACACACTACGTACATACTACTACATATGCATACATCATGTACACATATTTAATGCATAATGCACATTGAATATATATATATATATATACATACATATGTATACATATTATGAATAATATACATATATATATATATATATACATAAGGGGTGTGTGTGTACATATATATATATATACATACACACACGTTTTTGTTAGACTTTTTGTATTCTTTCGTTTTGCTTTGGTCTTCATTCCGTCGGCGGGAAGCACCTGCGAGGTGCTGAAGGACGCCAGCGTGCCCTGGCAGCTTCGGCTGCGGCGCTGCCAGGCAAGTCGCGAGTCGCGAGTCACCGGGGATTTGCCTCAACCCCGAAGCGACTTGGACCAACTTGGAGCCAGACACGACCTTTTCGGTTTGAAGGCCCTACCTTTGCAAAGGCAGATGTAAAAAGATCAAAAAAGGGAAAAAGGGGTTTGCAGTTGACCATTTCTCATCTTTTTTGCAGGAATTCTCCAATTGGTTCCCCATTCAGACAAGGTTTTTCGTTCAGTTTCTCGGGGGTTTGTTGCCTGGGAGGCTCTGCTTCATGTCAGCCGCTGCTTCCGCGACGCGGCCAACTTCCGAGACGGGGCGCTGCAGGCGGAGCCCCGGAGCTGGGGAGTGGACTCTTCGAGATGCGGTGTGGCCTTCTTAGGGGAAGCCCCCCCTCAAATGGTGGTGGTTTCCCCTTGAACACCACAAAGAAGCATGGGGTATCTTGAAACGCACACAAACAAACACAGTGGTGTGTCTTGTTGGTTTTTGGAGATACGTTTGAGCGCGGCTAAAGGGAGACAAGCAATGATTTGCACCTAGCATGCAAAGAGAGGTTTTGAGAACTTATGTACGCGATAATGTGTTTATTTCCGTTGCGACGAGCGCGCCCCTCTGGCAAAGATTGGATTTTGCCAAGATCGGCGGCTTCTTTATCGCCGTTCCCGACGAGGCGCTGTTCTTGGTCAGATGAATAGGGCCACCCACCGAAACACATGCGAAAGAGGGATAAGAGCGACCTCAGCCCAAGATTGGCAGTGTGAGGCTCAAGCCAGGAATATATCATTTCTGAAGCGTTCAGGGTTTGGGGATTTGAACCACGTTCTTGTACAGAGTTCAATGGGTAAAACCACCAAGTAAAGGGAAGGTGAGGATTGGTGTTGACTGAAAGATGCTTGTTCATCCATCAGCCGTCGCCCATGCCGATACATCCAGGACTCCACCTGCAAACCGGTTGAGTCCCGCAGGCCGACGTGGCCAAGACGCTCCTGGAGCAGGCGCTGATGGGATCTGTCAAGGAGCCGTGAGGTGCGGCGCTGAATACCATGCGTCTTGGAGAGCATTGGAGAGGTGGACGCATGTGGGAAGTTGCGGCTGCCAGGCCGGAATGCATTTGTATTTCCTTGGTGCGAAGTTTGTGGCTGGTACCTTTCGCGTGTGGAAGGGGCGAGGATACGGGCGTGGCACGGCCAGCCGATGAGCCGATCTCAGGCGATCCGCTCTGAGCCGGAGCGAGTTAACGAGCGCGGGGCAGGTCTCTCGAGCTGTTCCAGTCAGCTGGCCCCATGATTTGACCATCAAAGTCACTCCCTGTAGGTCAAAGGAAAACACCCCCAGTTTCTGACTTTGATACCCCAAACAGAGTCAACATAATGACCATAGAGGAATGCAAAGCCAGACAAAAAAGGAGGGATCCTGAATTGATGGACTCGCTCGCGAGCAACAACTCAATCCCATGGTTCCCGGACCTCTGATTGGAACTGAAGAGCACACGCTTGTTTTACCTACGGCTACCTGGGTCGTCCATTTTGCACGAGAGCAAGCAAGAAGCCAGCGCCGTGCCAAGAGCCAAAGAGACCTCTCTGTCGGGCGCGCTGTCATTTGCGCGACGTCTTACTGCGCTAAAGACGCAGAGAAAGGAGCAGAGCAGAAAGGAGCATGCTTTCGAGCCGGCGTGTTTGCGATTGTTTAGTTTGGCCCTGCAATTGATGGTAGTGACACCCTTGGCGGGTATGTCCACAGACTAGATGTTTGCGATTGAGGAACCCCTAACAACTTGGAATGTGGCAATCTACAAGGATAAAGGACTTTTCACATTGTCATGGACTCTAAGGGGGGGGCCTAAACCTCATTATCCCCTTAACATGGCCCTTTTCAGGGCTTGTCCTTGGCTTACCCTAGGCTTACCCTAGGCTTATCCTAGGCTTATCCCCCCCCCCCAAAACCCCCTAAAGGTCCATAACATTGTCACTCGCAGCTATGGGATGTGCTGGGATATTGTAACACCGCAGATGCGCCTGCGACTTGCATGCGGTTGACTTCCACCCATGATCAGGACAGACAAAGACACATAGATTCATCTGCACATGACAGAAGACATGCTGGTGTACAGCATGTTTCTACCTGTTTCTACCTTTTTTAGGCCAGCGAGCCAGTTTGCAAAAGGCCTCCTGTAAACTGTATTGGCTCATTCTGAGTAAAATGCTCAGCCCAGATGTTTGTGTTGCAGCGTCTTTTTTGCCACATGAACTTCATAGGTTGGTTGAGCTTGCAGCACGTTCCCCCGCGGTTTGAAACATGCGAGGGTGCCCGGCTTAG